TTACAAGGAGCAGAGGTGGTGAAGGTGCAGGAGTTTAGGTACTTAGGATCAACTGTTCAGAGCAGAGGAGACTGTGGAAGAGAGGTGAAGAATAGAGTACAGGCAGGATGGAACAGCTGGAGAAAAGTGTCAGGAGTGATCTGTGACAGAGTGTCAGCTAAGGTAAAGGGAAAGGTTTACAGGACAGTGGTGAGACCAGCCATGATGTATGGTTTCGAGATGGTAGCAATAGGCAGAAGACAGGAGGAGGCAGAGTTAAAGATGCTAAGATTCTCTCGGGGTGACAAGAATGGCCAGGATCAGGAATGAGGTCATTAGAGGGACAACACAGATGGGAAGGTTTGGAGAAAAAGCTAGAGAAGCCAGATTGAGATGGTTTGGACATGTGCAGAGGAGGGACAGTGGATATATTGGTAGAAGAATGTTAGCGATGGAGCTACCAGGTAGGAGAAAAAGAGGAAGGCCAAAGAGGAGATATATGGATGCAGTGAGGGAGGACATACAGATAGTTGGAGTCAGAGTAGAAGATGCAGAGAACAGGGAGAGATGGAAAACAATGATTCGCTGTGGCAACCCCTGAAAAAGGGACAAAGCTGAAAGAAAGACTGAATAAAATGGCAAAATGTTTATAGAGCAAATACATATGGATTTATGCAGTATTGAATCAAATTATTTTAATTCAAGTCTTCGTTGAGCATGGATGGATGGAATGATAAAATGCATTAAGATTCAAGGTTTTCCATAATTAAAATGATCGTAATGTAAATAGTTAAAATAGTATGTGGTGTATATTTTACTACAAACAGTAAAATCAAAACGCCAAAATACACCCGTGGTTATTTAATTTCCTGGCTGTTCAATTTCATTTTGATAATTTGTTCTGCTCAAAGTGATTTGAACTCTTATTGTTTTCTATCCTTGATCTGTTGTATAACAATAAGCTGGTTTATCTAATTTAAAACTGAGGATATGTCTCAGTTTCACTTGCCCTCATCGTCCTTTTGGTTGGCACACAAACCATGCCTCATTTGTGTTAATGTATAATTTTAAATTAAATGCTAGCATGCTGATTCTCTCTCCTACTGTCACTTACATGAAAACATGTTATGTTTTACATTGCCTATAGCAGACATTGCTGCATACCTGTGGTTGTTTTTGTGTGTGATACTGATGGAGGGCTGTAAACTGACACTTGGACAGTCCCCTCTTGACTTGCTAAATTTAACCAGGGAGGTGGGGGGGGGGGGGCGACAGATGGGGTTATAGTCTTACATGGTATACTTCACAACAGTGAGCCTTGGTTATTCAGGAAACTGTACTGACAAAGTTTGTCAGCAGTAATATATTTTATAAGAAGTTATATTACTGTCAACATAAATGATTAATCAAATCACCCCTTTTTCTTTGTTTCAGATTTTTTCTATTTTGTACATACATTGTTTTGTATACTGTATATGATGACTTCAGTGGTCAGCAATCAAGCCCGAGGAACTCGGGACAGAGCGCTGCCCAACACCACACACACAACGCAGCCACAAAAACAGATACAGGTGAGTGCTTTATTTTAAGCATTGTTTTTTTTTTTCTTTTTGCTTCAAGCTGATGTGTGATAATGAAGCACAAAAAAATTAGCTTCAGCAGCCCAAAACCAGCTCAACACTAGGCACAAGCTGCTATCAGTGGTTTATCAAAAGTAGGTTTGGATTTGAGAAAACAAATTTTACACCATAAGCAACTCTTTTAATGCACAAAGTGAAATATCTTTGACCAAGTAATGTTTTAGTCTCATAGTTTCTTATTGAACTGTTTTTCAGGCAACAGCCGAACAGATTCGCCTAGCCCAGATGATCTACGACAAAAATGATGCCGACTTTGAGGACAAGGTCAAGCTGGTAATAAACATTTGCATTTGTCAATTTTAAATAAATGCTTATTCTAACAACATGCAGTCGTAAACTTCTTAGACAGAGACAAGGTTTTAGTTGTAAAATTATCTTTTGTAATTTCTGTTTCGATTCTTAGT